TTTTTTTTTTTTTTTTTTTTTTTTTTTTGCTCTTCCGATATTTGGATTCGCGTTTCTTTGCAGGGTGATTTGTATCGTTTCAGAAAATTTTATTAGGGTTTTTGGGATGCTTTTTTCGAATTCAAAAATTTGAGATAGCTATTCAAATGGACATGAAGTTTATGCGTTGTTGAATTAAGATTTTGATGCCTTTATTGTTGGTCTGGCGGTAGTTTACGTGGGTATGTACGTCTATTGTGATGAATGTCGTCAAATGATGAGTCATTAGGATTTTAGGGCTTGTTAGTGTTCGAGTGCCTGTGCTGGATATCTGTTGTTTGTTTGTTTGTTTTTTTTAGTATTCGTGTGTTTGTATTGGCAATAGCTTCAAAAAATTCGCGTTCCAGTCTATGATTTGAGATGTAATCGTTCTGTTTGTTCTTCATTTTTCCCCTTGAAACGTTGCTGGCATTCTGTCCATATCCTCCCGTCTCTTGTAGTGCTTCTACAACGGGGTGGGTTCATAAGTTGGACTGTTGGAGTTCGATGTTAGTCAAAGAAGATGTCATAATTAGTATGGAGATCATAAACATGATTGGATAAATAGAGGCTAGAGTGTGTTTTGAATACTTCCTATGCTTCAAGCCTTCACTATGTAGTCATTTACGAGAGCGGTGGTCTTATTTTTATGTTTATTTCTCCCTGTTCTTCATGTCTATTTTGACTCTGTAATTTAAATTTATTTGTTAATGAGTATAATCTCAACCATTCCATGTTGACTTCATAAATCTGGAAACTACTGCTTGATAGGACATTTAGAAGTTGAAGAAGTCATGATTATCTATACAGGTGTAAGGATTTATTTCAAACCCCATGATCATTTTTTTATCCAATATGTATCTTAAGTTTCTTAACCAACGTATATTCACTGTTGAACCCTTTGGAATGTTGAACGAGTAAACAATTATTGCACCTGTTGAAGTATCTTTCCTGAATTTATTCAGCGACTCTCTAACATATGGGATTTTACTCGTATGATGTGCAGAATTTAATTGGGACGATGTGAAAGTTGACAAACATCGGGAAAACTTCCTTGGCCACAGCATCAAAGCACCTGTTGGAAGATGGCAAAAAGGTAAGGTATTATTGTGAAAGCCTACTATGGTTTGGTGAATTATGTAAGTTGAGCGATTGTATCAATAAAATGGTTTTCTTAATACAAGGCACTAGATTTCTCAATGGAAAAATTATTTGCCTTTTTTTTTTTTTGAACTGTAGAGCATGTTCTAAAATGTAGTTATGTTCTGTTTTCATTATCTATGTTTCCTCCAAGTTGGCATTATATTATTCTCCTACTTTGTGGTTATTTGGGAGGCGTATTATTATTCCTGCTTTCATCAATTTGCAAACTATTTCGACTAGTTTTGCTTTCCTACTTTTATATACATTTGCTTGAATTACGACATGCTGATTCTTATTTGGTTATGGACAATCCCTCTCACTTCGTTTGCTGATAAAATGTTTTAACAATACTGTTTTTAATAACAAAACAGGGAAAGATCTACACTGGTATGCACGGGATAAAAAATCGAGTTCGAATGTGGATGTTGCAAAGGAAGAGATAAGATTGATCAAGGAGCAGGAGGAACAGGCAATGAGGGAGGCTCTTGGATTAGCTCCTAAAACTGCTGGCAGATCTCAGGGTAATCGTCTTGATAAGCATGAGTTCTCAGAACTTGTGAAGCGAGGTAGCACTGCAGAAGACTTGGGTGCGGGCCATGCTGAAGCTGCACGGGTTCAGGGTCTTGGTTTTTTGAGGTTAGATCTACCAATATTAAATGGAATTTCCTTTTTATCTGGTTGTGTGGAAACAAGGTTAGGGATGCATGGAAACTTAGCCCATCATTCAATTATCAGAATTGAATTGCCTTTTTTGTAGATACGACCCTGAGAGAAAATTCTTTCGAAATGGTGCAAAATTTGTATACAGTCCGAACCTAAATTCGTTTTTTCATTAGCATCAATATTACTTGCATTTTGTTCTGCCTACTAATTGTCCCTTCGAACTGGTCTTATTGTTCTGTTAAATTCTGTCTACGAACTGGTTGCAGAGCTCCACATGCCTGGGAAGAATCTAAGTCTCTTCTGCCTGATCAAACGGGCACCTCTGCTGGTTCGGAGAAAACAGATATCCCTGACCCGCCTGCTAGGAATGCAGAAGAAGAGGAAGTGGAGGATGAAAAGAACAGCAAGAAAAGGAGGCGTGAAGAGAGGCGCGGGGAGAGGCATGAAGAGAGACACGAGAGGCGAGGGGAGAGGCGTGAAGAGAGGCGGGAGAGGCATGAAAGGCATGAGAGACATGAAAAGTACGAGAAGAAACATTCTCAGGATTCCAAGAAGAAACGGAGTAGTAGAGACAAAGAGAGGGGAAGACACGACTTTGATTGAACACGAGAATCACGGTGTTCGAAATGCCATATACTCTGTAACTTGACTCGAGATGGGACCTCATCCATTACTAGACATTCATCGAGTGTGCCAACTGATCATTTGCTCTGCCTTCTCATTCCATGTATTAAAAGTAATCCTTTAAGTTCGAATCCTTAATGTCTTAATTACATAATCGTTCTCTCTGATGTCAAGCTGTAGGCACAGTTCTTCGGCTCTACCATTGTCAGCTGGGCCTTCCCTCAAGTGGCTGGGACACGGTTGGTAATGCAGAAGCCGACTCCATTTAGTAATACTATAAACCTTCCTTTCTCTAACCCCTGATTCTTTTGGAAGATTACACAAATCTTTAATCATAGTTCACTTCTGGTTCAAACTGTTCAGTTCCACTGAGCATGGTTATGCATTCTTTTTATGCTATGATTTGGAAAATGGTTTGAAACCATCTGTTACATAACTTAGTTTTGAAAGATATGGCACTCAAAGTTGTAGAGTTGGTTGTGTTGGGTGACCATTGTTGTCTAGACGCTTCCTTCGAATCAAAGCATTAAAAAGAAAAGGAGGATATGATGAAAAAATGGACAAACTTGTATGAATGGGGAAAGCTCAAAGGTATTTCGTTAATTTCTTCGTCCTCTTCCCATTTGCTTCGATTTTGTTTGGAGTCTTCCAGATGAGACATGTGCTAATGGCTCTACCAGGTGTGGTGTTGGAAGCGCTATTGGTGGCAATAAATAGCCCACTGGGCGATGAGCGACTATGTTTGTTCCGGTTTCTACCTTACTAAAATGTCAAATTTTTAATTTATTATTGAATTTAAAAAAATTGAAAAATTACCTAAAAAAATTATCATTCAAAAAGTTCCTTTTTTTTTTTTTTTTTTTTTGGTACATAACAAGACACTCTGAATTATGGTTTATAAGTCAATTTTTGCCGTGTTTGCACATACAATAACTTAGATTAAAATAATATTATGGTTGAACCATATTATCGAGTTAAATTAAAAATAATATTATGCTTGAATTTTATATACTAAAAAAACGGTATTTTTATGAAGAATTCGGAGACCGTAAGCAAGCGGAATAAAAAAGCTACGAAATGGGTCCCACTAGGGGAGATTAATATATATTTGCTATTCAGAATAAAGGCGCAAGAGTGGGCGACGAGGAAAGGCTCCAGAGAGAGAGAGAGAGAGAGAGAGAGAGAGAAGGCACTTCTTCTTGTTCATATTGTTGTTGTTGTTCTTCTTCTTCTTCCTTCTCACGCTTCTTCCGGCCCTGCAATTATTACACCAATCAGAACTCTCTGTTTCCGTCTTCCTTTTCCACTAATTTGGGGTTAAACCATCCCTTCTTCACTTGATTGTTTAGTGAATTCAGGAGGGCAACCATGGTGTCGGCCAACAGAGAGATGGTGGTGTACTGTTTCGATACTCTTCTCGCTCACTACAACGGCGAGGAAGCCCCTCCTCCCGCTTTCCACGGCGGTCAACAGTACTTTCTTCTCTCTCTCTCTCTCTCTCTCTCTCTATTCATTTATTTATGTGCGATCAGCGATTGTTATGTGGGAATTTTCTTGCATATTTCGGTTTTTTCGTATGATCGAGTTTGTAGGTTTAGTAATATTGAGGTTGCTGGGTGGGCTTTGATTGTTGACTTTGGATGATTTTGATGCCTTGTTGGTTTAGTATGTGATTTCTGTGTTTTAATTTAGTTCTTTGCTAAGTACTTCAAATTTTAGAGATGGTTACTGTTTGTTGACTAACGTAGTAATGGTTTTTTTTTAATAGTTCATTTCGCATGTTTTTCGAAAGCAACACAGGGGAAAGACATGTTAAATGTTTCCTAAATAATAATAGTTCTTCAAATGTTTTATTGGTGAATGTTATCCCTGTTGTATATCCTTTCATTTTCTCTACAGAGTACGTTTTTTCATCTAAAAATATTTGTACAAAACAATGGTAAAAGTATTAGGGTGTGAGATCCTACGTCGGTTGGAGAGGGGAACGAAACATTCCTTAAGGTGTGGAAATTTCTTCCTAGTACACACGTTTTACAACCGTGGTGCTAACAACGATCCAAAGTAGACAATATCTAATAGTGGTGGGTTTGGGCTCTTACAAATGGTATTAGAGCCAGACACCGGGTGGTGTGCCAGTAAGGACGTTGAGCCCCCAAGGATCCCACATCGGTTGGGGAGGAGAACAAAACATTCCTTATAAGAGTGTGGAAACCTCTCCTTAGTAGATGCATTTTAAAACTGTGAGGCTGACGGCGATACGTAACAAGTCAAAGCGGACAATGTCTGTTAATGGTGGGCTTGGGCTATTAGATGAGATGTGTTAAGTGGTGATCAATGGTAAAAGGGACAATTGTTTGTGTGGCTTCCAGGAAACCAATTTAGCTACTTGTTTGTAGTAGTAACTTGGGACTTACTGGAGCAATTTTAGTGGGCTGCACTGCAAGCTTCTTTTTCAATTATAATCACAGGAGCAGGCTCCATTCATTCCTATGGACGGCTTCTTTGTTTCTAGTTTTCTCAGAAAGCTAAGGAATTATCCACAGTAATGTTTTGATGAATTATATTTGTTGTAGTCATAAGTTCTAGTTCGATCGTTGAGGCATTTGATATCAAGGCCTATATATTTCTGCTCAACATTCTCGCCTTGAGTCTATCTTCTCTTTGTTCTTAGTAATGCAAAGTATTAGATTTTATGCTTTTCTGTTCANTTTTTTTTTTTTTTTTTTTTTGGTACATAACAAGACACTCTGAATTATGGTTTATAAGTCAATTTTTGCCGTGTTTGCACATACAATAACTTAGATTAAAATAATATTATGGTTGAACCATATTATCGAGTTAAATTAAAAATAATATTATGCTTGAATTTTATATACTAAAAAAACGGTATTTTTATGAAGAATTCGGAGACCGTAAGCAAGCGGAATAAAAAAGCTACGAAATGGGTCCCACTAGGGGAGATTAATATATATTTGCTATTCAGAATAAAGGCGCAAGAGTGGGCGACGAGGAAAGGCTCCAGAGAGAGAGAGAGAGAGAGAGAGAGAGAAGGCACTTCTTCTTGTTCATATTGTTGTTGTTGTTCTTCTTCTTCTTCCTTCTCACGCTTCTTCCGGCCCTGCAATTATTACACCAATCAGAACTCTCTGTTTCCGTCTTCCTTTTCCACTAATTTGGGGTTAAACCATCCCTTCTTCACTTGATTGTTTAGTGAATTCAGGAGGGCAACCATGGTGTCGGCCAACAGAGAGATGGTGGTGTACTGTTTCGATACTCTTCTCGCTCACTACAACGGCGAGGAAGCCCCTCCTCCCGCTTTCCACGGCGGTCAACAGTACTTTCTTCTCTCTCTCTCTCTCTCTCTCTCTCTATTCATTTATTTATGTGCGATCAGCGATTGTTATGTGGGAATTTTCTTGCATATTTCGGTTTTTTCGTATGATCGAGTTTGTAGGTTTAGTAATATTGAGGTTGCTGGGTGGGCTTTGATTGTTGACTTTGGATGATTTTGATGCCTTGTTGGTTTAGTATGTGATTTCTGTGTTTTAATTTAGTTCTTTGCTAAGTACTTCAAATTTTAGAGATGGTTACTGTTTGTTGACTAACGTAGTAATGGTTTTTTTTTAATAGTTCATTTCGCATGTTTTTCGAAAGCAACACAGGGGAAAGACATGTTAAATGTTTCCTAAATAATAATAGTTCTTCAAATGTTTTATTGGTGAATGTTATCCCTGTTGTATATCCTTTCATTTTCTCTACAGAGTACGTTTTTTCATCTAAAAATATTTGTACAAAACAATGGTAAAAGTATTAGGGTGTGAGATCCTACGTCGGTTGGAGAGGGGAACGAAACATTCCTTAAGGTGTGGAAATTTCTTCCTAGTACACACGTTTTACAACCGTGGTGCTAACAACGATCCAAAGTAGACAATATCTAATAGTGGTGGGTTTGGGCTCTTACAAATGGTATTAGAGCCAGACACCGGGTGGTGTGCCAGTAAGGACGTTGAGCCCCCAAGGATCCCACATCGGTTGGGGAGGAGAACAAAACATTCCTTATAAGAGTGTGGAAACCTCTCCTTAGTAGATGCATTTTAAAACTGTGAGGCTGACGGCGATACGTAACAAGTCAAAGCGGACAATGTCTGTTAATGGTGGGCTTGGGCTATTAGATGAGATGTGTTAAGTGGTGATCAATGGTAAAAGGGACAATTGTTTGTGTGGCTTCCAGGAAACCAATTTAGCTACTTGTTTGTAGTAGTAACTTGGGACTTACTGGAGCAATTTTAGTGGGCTGCACTGCAAGCTTCTTTTTCAATTATAATCACAGGAGCAGGCTCCATTCATTCCTATGGACGGCTTCTTTGTTTCTAGTTTTCTCAGAAAGCTAAGGAATTATCCACAGTAATGTTTTGATGAATTATATTTGTTGTAGTCATAAGTTCTAGTTCGATCGTTGAGGCATTTGATATCAAGGCCTATATATTTCTGCTCAACATTCTCGCCTTGAGTCTATCTTCTCTTTGTTCTTAGTAATGCAAAGTATTAGATTTTATGCTTTTCTGTTCATTCTAAAACTGTCGTAAATCCTTGTTGGTTTGACCATGTCTGAGTAATGATTTTTTACATTTATATCTCAGTTTATTGAGCTAAAAGTACAAGATTCTAACTGGTTTTTGTACAAATTCTTGATCAACTAGTGATTGTTCAATTTCATTTAGGATAGTTGTGTTTTCTGAGACATATCCAGCTCTGTTGGTTCTTCTACACATTTTGTGTGTTATCATGTGGTTAGCCATACTTTTCGAAGATGTTAATGTGATACTAGCCGCTCTTTAAAAACGTTGTGCTTTATACATAGAATCTTATTATTGCAATCTGCATATAGTTTGATTTCACTTGAATATTTCTTTTCTTCCAGCCCCTTGTTCGTTACCTGGAAAAAAGTGGTCAATGGCGGTGAACCTCGTTTGCGAGGGTGCATAGGAACTCTAGAAGCTCAATGCTTGATAAATGGCTTCAAGGATTATGCTTTAACTAGGTACTGTTGCCTAATGCATCCTTTCTATGTTGATTGCTTTCCACTGTCTTCTTCACCTTGCCCTTTCCTTGGCTTTCTCAAATCAAGTTAGGAGGCGAAAGTCAATGGGTGGATGAGAAGACCATATATGAAATAGTCTAGGCCCCAGCCCATCGCTAATAGATATTGTCCTCTTTAAGCTTTCCCTTTTGGGCTTCTCCTCAAGGTTTTTAAAACGCGTCTGCTAGGAAGAGGTTTCCACACCCATATAAAGAATGCTTCATTTTCCTTTTCAACCGATGTGGAATCTCACAATTCACCCCCTTTCGGGGCCTAGCGTCCTCGTTGGCACTCGTTCCTCTCTTCCATCGATGTGAGATCTTACCATCTACCCCCCTTTTGGGCTCAGCTTCCTCGCTGACACACCGCCCAGTGTCTGGCTCTGATACCATTTGTAACAGTCCAAGCCCACTGCTAGTAGATATTGTTCTCTTTGGGTTTCCCCTCAAGTTTTTTTAAAATGCGTCTACTAGGTAGAGGTTTCCACATTTTTACAAAAAATGCTTCGTTCCCCTTTTCAACTGATGTGGGATCTCACAATCCTCGCTTTCACTCGTTCCTCTCTCCAATCGATGTGAGATTTCACATTCATTCCTCTCTCCAATCGATGTGGGATTTCACATCATTCACTCATTTGGTAAACTAAGTTCAGGGAAGGGGGCAGTAGGGAGGAAGCTGATTTAGTTAACGAAGTTTGTGAGAGAACGAAAAGTCCATTCTTAAGTGACTTGTACGTAAATTGTTCTATTTCATGCATGGGGAGGTCAATTGGGGGCGAGGCGAACTCTCTACACTTTTCATTCCATTGGACAAAGGATATTACCTCGGTTCTCTTACACTATCTCGAGTCACGGTTTTACATGCTCTCTCTTTTCCCATTGTCATGACTAAATGCAATTTTTATTTTTCGATCGCTTGAACCCGGTCCGCTTCATTAGCCATCTAAAGATTTAGTTCATGGTTCCTTTTTTTCTTGAACATGTTGCAGTGCATTGAGGGACCGCAGGTTCCCCCCAATACAGCCTAAAGAATTACCACATTTGGAATGCACAGTTTCCATTTTAGTTGATTATGAAATAGCTATCAATTATCTTGATTGGGAGGTACCTTTCTGTTTCCTTTTCTTACTCCAAATTTTTTGTTCAGTATCTAAAACAATTTTTTTTGCATTATTAATGATTGCAAGGATTAGTCGAGCACGTTTATGATTCTGGCTACTTTGTCTGAAGTTTCAAGCTCGGTCTGTCCTGCCTGCCTGTCGTGTTTTTGGCCAGGCACACAAAATAAGCCAGTCAGGCTGGCAGCTTTACCATAATCAGGGTATTCATGTCTTATTTTGCAGGTAGGTAAGCATGGTATTATTATTGAATTTAATGATCCCGACTATAATACTAGACGAAGCGCTACGTATCTGCCCGAGGTAGCTGCCCATGAAGGTATGTTACCGTACGTTTTGTGGATAAATATTAGTCGTCTTTGCCTTCTACTGTGAAATCCAGTGATTTGCTTTGAATACTAAGTAGTTTTTATCATTCATATAATTTTTATGTCCCAAAGGATTCGGGTATAATAGGACGAGCTAACTACCCTATACTTTGTCGATCCTCCCATGTTTGCTCAAATTTTTTGTCGTCTTAGTTTCGTGGTTGATGTAACCATAGCGATCTATAACAAAGACGTTGAAAGGAATGAGTTCAATTCAGAATGGTCACTTCTACATGTTTTCTTGGGGGGTCTTATGGTTGTCTTGTGAGATTAGTCGAGTTGTGCATAAGTTAGCCCAAATATTCACGTTCGTGCACACACATCATGTTGAAACATATCTCTTTGGCTAAAATGTTCCCAACTTTCTGTTTAGCTTTATAATTCGTCCAGCTGACTCGGTTTCTGGTTGGGTTGCATCTTGATTTCCAGGTTGGTCAAAAATTGAGGCCATCGACTCATTGATTCGAAAGGCAGGATATAACGGTGCAATCACCGAGTCACTATGTAAGCGTATTCGATTAACTCGGTACCAAAGCACCCTATTCACCATGCACTACGGTGAGTACGTCTCCTACATTAAAAACACCCGGGGCACGGCCCCCCGTGTCGTCGGGGTTAAAGCCTAACACAACCATCCATTCTTCCAAACCGCTTCTGCAAAAATCTGCAAAGCGTAAGTTTGGGTAACTGAACTATTACGAAGTGTCATTTCTTATGTGAATCACTGTGAGATAAACTGAAGAACTCAGTAGTTATGGAAACTTATCATTCAAGCTCTGCTGCTTCTCTGCAGTTGGCTGCTCTGTAATTTATAAACATTTCTAAGTTCTAATTATTACTGCTATTTATCTGTCTGCCATTTCGGTAATTTTTTTTTCGTAAAATTTGTCGCTGATTTTTTACCGAAATAATTTGAAAAAGTTAAATCGTAAATTTGGTTCTAATAAGGTTAGAATTGAGTATGAATTAGTCTTTTTGGATTGCAAAACCTCGTAAAGATCGATCTTCAATTTTCATACTGTCTCGTTCATTGAGATCGAGTTTTCTATGTTTATAGTCTTTTCAAGCTGTCTTAGCCATGACTCGAACACAAGACTTAAAGGTGTCTTTTGACTTCCTTTTCATTTTTTTTTTTTTGGTATTATATTTAATTTTTATTTTAAAAATTATTATTATTATGATTAAAGTTTTATAATAGGTTTTTAAAAACATTTATTAGTTTTGTTTTACCCATTAAGAAAAAAACATTATTTTAAAGATTTAATCAACAAATCTCATAAAAAAGTTAAATCTATTTGATTTGGTAGATATTAATAGAATTAAAAAAAGTTTATGATTGAAATTAAAAAAAAAAATGTTTTAAATAATTCTTTTAAGTAATCTATTTTTTAAGTATATAATAAAATAATTATTTGAATTAAATATTAAATTCTATTGTATTTAATGAATGAGGATGTAAATGTAATTTTGTATCTGAGAACTTCAAAAGTTTTTTTTTTTTTTTTTTTTTTTA